GCGAATAGAATGGATCCAAATGCGCGTCATAAAGTAATTTATATACGAGAACACCAACGAGTTTGCGCTCGATATCAAATCCCACCTGACCTATTCCACGTAGTCGCACCCTAACAGACATTTCGCAAAGTCGTTAATAACTTTTTTTTTTAGCACGTTCTTTCTTCCAATGCTCCATGCCATTAGCGAAATAGTCAGAACTCCACCCATTCGCTACATATTAACGAGAGTATTCCTCTGTATTCCTTCTCACCCACAATACGAATCTATCCAGTTTTCAAAGGATTATTTTTCTCTCTCGTATATATCCTTAAGCTATAATTTCGTTTTTCATTCATAAAAACATGTCATTTTTTATTGTTTTTTCTTTTCCCAAAATTTTAAAGGAGATTGATTCATTATAAATTGAATCTATATTATTAATAAACACCATTACGTTCCTGCTTCTCTTTCTCATTTTCAGTATTAATATATATTTAACTGTCATAAATAATTATTATGTTAATAATAAATTAGCAATTTCTGTATCTGAATTTTCTTCACTCGTATTAATCCGATAATTGTTGACATATAAAGCATACAATGCTGTTGATCGACAATTATTTCATATTAGCTTTTATGTCGGTAAAATTAAAATAGTTACAAAATATTTAATATCATCTTTTTACGTTATCCTCAATATATGTATTTTCTAACAAAGAAACAAGACATGTGGGATATATAATTATTATTTTTCACATCTGAGGCGGCGACAAAAATTCACAATCGCCTGCTTTTATTACTTATGCGAGAAAGAAATTAAATTTCGAGTACAGTAAGCCCCCATGTGCGCTGTTCATCTTCAGCTGTTGCAAAAACAGATGTTCACTAGCGACTTACAACCAAGTCACAAAGGTTGACAGACGATGCGCGTATATCGACGGGTCTATATTCAAATCGCCCTCTTTCACCAGCCGCGGTAACAGATGTTCGTCGCCCATCGATCACGACGATTCTATTTTTGAACTGACACTTCTTTCGGAACGTCACGCTTTGATAAAAGATCTATCGATCGGCGACATAGCGCTTTCGTAACGTAGCGAAATATTTATTTTCTAATGAGGCATTCTAACATCATAGCAAACTCTCGAATTAAAGAGTTCGACATTTTTTTCGTACCAAGTTCGCGGCTTGATTTAATTATCAACTGTTGATTAATGAAACGTGCAACTTTCGCCAAGTTTTACTCGCGAAAACGAGTATAAGAAGATCGATCGCTAAATGCGCTACACCTCACCTTACCTTGACTCGCTATCGAACAGTAGCTCGGCAAATGAGTTAACATACTTGCACCATAAAGCCACGAATCGTTTATAATAAAAGCGAAGTTAATGGCACGACACAGTCGCAACGCTAAAGAATAATTGAATAAGCCATTATAAAGAGGGGGAAGGGGGGAAGGAATGAATAGAAGCTTGCCTTTCTCGGTTCGCTCGACATTATCACCGACGTGCGTGATAAATATTTTATTTTTACCACGCTGTTCTCTCGAATTTTTTTTAAGCGATCGTTTATATGTCAAGCATCGTAGGATATTTCATCGATAAGAAGGACTTTGCGCGCGCGCTGATGATTTTAATATTTGCGCTATTCCATCATCGAGATGGAGTACTTTGGCATCTTTATAGTTGGAATTGCATGATAGTCTTAACAGGATCGAATTACTTCGAGCGCAACGTCCTGAGTGAACAAACTCACGACGACGTCTGAACGGTTCAGGGCACTGATACGTGCACACGAGCTCGTGCGAGTAGTCGTGGTATCACCTGCGCTGAAGTATAATAGTAGTAGTAGTCGCTCGACGATGGCGATGGCCGTGGGATAAACTTAGGCATGTTTGCCGAGCAATCAAATATATGAGTGGAAAGTCTCGCGGACGCTATCGATCGGTCGGAAGCCATCGTGATGGTAGAGCACGAGCGACGGCTGGAATTGAAGGAAGAAGGATTCGGGACGAAATGGTCAGGGGAGAGTCAGGGGAAGACCACGAAACTTTACTCGTTCGTCGTGGACGGAGGGCTGTCGATTCGACGAACGGTCTGTCCACTGTTTGTTGTTGAACGCTATTCGTATGAGGAAGACGGAAGAAGAGCGGCAAACACACAGTCTTTGAGCCGACAGAGAGGAGCCTTCAGGATCGTCGTAGCTATTGTATAATATATTAAGCATTTTCAGATATCTGCTAGGCGTTCTTATTTTTCATAAGCTCAGATAAATTATTTTATAATTTTATTTATATTGGAAATTACGACCTCGGCTGTACCTTTTTATGATTATTAATTATAAGGTATTTTCGAGTTTTCTTAGAATTTTTTAATATCTTCGAGAACAACGACCGTGTATATATTGTATATTACTTTTTTATAATTTAATCTATGCTTACATTTCTCATAAACGAGAAAGGAAAAACAAGTTTTAGAATATTTTATATAATAGAAAAAAATTATTTTTATACAATTACATTTTATTAAATGTTTTGAAATATTATGTGTATTCTTGATTCGCATACTAGTGAAAAACATGATTATTGTCGGGACATATTGATCCCCTTGTATACGGATACATACGTGCATGATATCAACCGAGTATAGCAAAGTTTCGTGAAATTCGAGTCCTTTATTTTCGTGCAAGTTTGCGTCCCACCGATGCGAGAAACGCTGAAGAAAAATCTCAAGTGCGCATCGTTTTCGAGAGCTCCGTAAGAAGAGAAAGACGGGGGAGAAACGCTTTGGAAGCTCGGGCGAATTCTTACGTTGGCCGTATACGTCTTTAGGATCTGCAGGATTGTACATTTCGTCCGATATGGTCCTTCAGAAATTTCGCTCGAAATTTTCCTATCGCGAATTTCCTCGCACAATGATCGCGAACATTTTGCAGATTAATACGATAAAAGCGAAATAATATCGAGTTTGCTAATCGAATTAATCAATTACGTCTGCCTGTAAACGATTGTGCGAATTATATATATTCGTATGCACGCATTAGTAGAGATCTCGATCCTGGTTAAATATTCGAGTTTTCGAGATTCAAAGGCCTGATTAATGTAGCGGCATGAGGTTGACATGGCGACATTATGATCGCTACAATGGACGCCAGGTGTTTCAGACAGGAAGGGCTAGAGAGGCAAGGAATATAATGCCGTCAAGCAACGCCACTTAATGAGCTGCCGGGAACAAAGCGGGGAGAACCGCTTTGTCATTTTTTCCGTGCTCCAATTACTTAGCGTTTAGAACAGTTGTATGTAATTATCTTTTCTTTATTTCACTTCATCTAATACAGCCTAGTTGATATATTCTTCCACAAAAAATAGCATAATTAAATAATATAGCTACATAATTTTCGCTTTATTAAGCATCACACATTCGCACTAACATTCGCGTAATAATATCCCCGTATAATATGTCATAAAAAGTTTTTGAAACCTAGTATATTGATCGGAAGCCTAAAATTGTCCGCCTGTTCCAATTTTCTTGTATCATGTCATCCAAGCAAGCAAGGGACGGGAGTTCGAAACTGGATGTCGAGACGAGGGCTGCTGAGATCAGAGGAAGGTCCAGAGTTTAGGCAAGGGACGAGGGGTACGTTATCGCGTCGTACTTCAGCAGGTAGGGGGGAAAGGGGTGGGCGCGCCCTCTTTTCGCCCTAATTCCCTTCAATCCTGATTCGTCCCATCTCCCAGAAGCATATCGCAATCGAGTTTCGTTGATTTTTCAAGAGGCACCCGCTCGACAGAAATTGGCGAGTATATTGAGCGATATTCGATCCTCGAAAAGGTTAATTTCATTTTTAAAAGCGCTGCCGCGCGTTACGAAATTCCCGGCCAGTTAAACCTGCAGTGTGTTTCAACTGGCTGTGACTGTAACACGATTACGTTAAATTTGATTACAGTTTCCATTGATTGATATTTTACGAGGTGAAAAACTCGAGACGCCGATTGAAAAAACTCGCGATCTATCTATAAAATTCATTGCGTTCCCCGAAAAAAGGAAAAAAAAAACTAAAACAACACGATATAAAATGTCGTTTGGATATTGCCCTACGATCCCGATCTCTCGCAGAGGCGAGAAATTTCTCCAAGCTTCTTCTTGCGGTGCAACATTGCAAAGTTTATTTTCGAACAAGTCCTTTTCAATAGACCAGATATGACGATCCGGTGGATTATCCCGCTTATACGACGCGCGCGCAAAAGATGACAACGATTGTCGAGTATCATTCCCTGGCGACGATACAAATAGTTATTGCACGAAACCGCGCACCGTCGTCTCGGATTACGAAGCGCTTGTCCGCACGCGGTAAACATCTTTTATTAAAGTGCACGTTGCGCTCCGCTGGCGCGTCAATTTTTCAAAGAGCCCCCGAGCTCTTTGTCTTCGCCGCGTCTCCATCTAACTACCGGCGATGAGCGCACGTGGCAGGCGCTGGGAGAGCGATTAATCGTTCCATCATCGTCACGGGGACGGCCTCGCTCTGCGACAATAGCGGAAACGGAACTCCTTTCGCTCGTGGATCTTTTCTCTCTCTCTCTCTTTTCCCTCTTGCAAAGATAAAACGGATAAAGGTATTTTTGTTTCCTTCCGGAGTATTTTTGTTTCCTTCCGGATCCAGAGTATGCCACAGAAATTTTCATGACGTAGAAAGGAAAGCTAGCCATCGTTGCTCACGATGGTTAATGAATACTGAACTACAATTTCTGTTTAATGTCTCACTTCACGATAGTTTTCATTTGTGTCGCATATTTTAGCATTGTCTCGTGTAGAGTGTATATATTTTTCAGTGCGCGAAGATTTATTTCGCCAAAATCAAAAAGATTATTGTAAACTAGTTGAAAGTATTGTATTATACTTTTTAAGAAGGAAAGACTATATTTTAAATGCTTATAAAATATGATAATACATTGTGTGTGAAATTTACAATTTATTTTTTTATCGAGTTTTAATAATTCTCTCTTCTCTTTGTTTCAGGCTGTGCATTCGTAAAACTCTCGTCGCACCAAGAAGCACTGGCGGCGATAAACTCTCTACACGGTAGCCAAACTATGCCGGTGAGTATCCACCGCATAATATTACAACGAGCATCGATCGATCTTCTCTCTTCGATCGAGGCTCGTTATTTTTTTTTATCTTCCGATCCACCTCCTCAGCCGATGACCGCCAGTTATCGTGTTCACGGACGCCGGTGCGTATTTACGCTCGGAAAATGTCACGTACGTGATATTAACGGAAAGGAGGGTAAATATTCATAGAAGCGCTACACTTGACGGAAGAGAGGAAGGGGTGCGGGGGTTGATATGAATATCGAGGATAGAGATGCGCGCAACCATGGCCGGACAGTAGATGACCGTCTTCCGTTAACGGAAGGAGGGGAAGGCGGTTGGAGATCGGGCCGGGTAGCCGTAGCAATGGCTGTCGTGCCTGCAAACACCCCGGTAATGATTGGCCAAACAGAAATCTGCATAACACTTGGAGAAGCGCGGTTCGCCTCCTTCTCCGCAACCCTCGGAGAGAGCGTCCCTAGGTCTCCGTCAAACCGCCGAACTTTCTCGGCTTAGGGTCGGACCAGGAATTCCCAGTTGTAATTGAATTGTCAGTGAGTTCCGTCCAGGATTCCACCTGCTGATTGGCGAAACTTTGCAAAGCCGCTTGCCGGACCCCCGATCGTCCTTGTCGGCGTTATTGCCTATCGACCGCCGCTGACATTGACGCGCCTAAGGGAGTTTGCATCTCAGACAATTATTAGACCTATAATGTACAATTGAGATCGCGGAGATTTATGTGGAACTATTGCTCTTGTGCGTATGATTTTATAAGTCTCTCTAAATTAATCGTTTTACCGCTCATAGATTACTTATAAAAAGAAAAAAGTAGTTAAATATTAGAAAGTTTAATATGCAAATATTTATGAGCCAAAGATAAAAATAAAAATAATAAGCATTGATATATGAATAAAATATTAATGATACAAATTTCTGATAATCTATATCCGTATATTCATGTGTTTTGCTAACACATTGTCTTCAAGAGCGTGATACATGAAACATGAAACGCGAGACTGTTACATAACTTTTTATGTTATTAGAGCTACTAGAGAAGAGTAATAGGATCCATCATACTTCATGTTCTTGTACGTTGTACGAGATCATTAGGAAGGGAAGATGGCGTCACTTTTGATATTCGACAAGGGATTCGCGGTTCACGTCGTACACGTTAAAGGCGCGTACGTGCACGACCATTGTGCGCTGGGCGAAATCGTGGGGGGTGGAAGCGCGGCTTGGTTACGTGAATATTACTCGTTACAACGCCCTAATCTAATAGTCGAATACCGGCGGAAGATGGAGCAGGGGTGGAGAGGGGGTGACTTCAGGACCGCGACTATTTGCCCACGAAAGAGGTACTGACAGCGCACGCGGGCCGTAATATGCAGATTGCTTAATTATCGCGACGAATTATGCAAATCTCGACGCCGATGTTACGAGATTTCACGGCGCGCAGCGGTGGTCGAGGGGATGGGAAGCGAGAAGGCGAAAGCGGCAGCGAGTGTCGGGGTTAACGCTTTCGCCGAAATGCCGACCTTCGACCCTGAATTATTCGACCCAGAAGAGATACGAAAGGCACGTGGTAGCGTTCTACGCGGGCGGCTTAATTATTGCGGCGAATTATGTAGATCTCGACGTTATGAAATTTTGCGCGCTGCGGAGAAGAGAAGCGACGAGAAAGAAAGAGGACCGTTTGTGTCAAACAATTTAATGCCAGCGAATCATATGAGCGTGACTTTTACGTGCAGAGTACAAATAACCGCATTTCTTCTTTCATTTTGATCATAAAAAAATAACGTGATTCCATATCTTTTAGTTTATCTAACAATGTGTTTTTTGACAATTATGTATTTTTATATCGCCATCAGTTGAAAATAAGGCAATAACAGGCAGCGGATAAAAAATTCATCCTTTCTGTTTGGCCAATCGATATAAATCTTTCGTAGAAAACAATCGTTATCGCGAAGGACACGATGTTATGGAGCCCCTAATTCGGCTTGACTATGTTCGTTCCAGTTTTCTCTGACCTGGCGCAAGATCACAACCCCTTCCAATTTTCCCCTGTCCTATCTATTCGCTCACACACTTAGAGAAGCGTCGATCTATATAAGCGTGTATGTGTGCGCGCATAAAAATATCGAATATACGTACGATCGTACACGTATGTCATCTCGCGTGTGTACCTCTGCTTTCAACCACTCGAACACGTCGACACTCTCGGTCACGAAACTGCATTATATATATATATATATATATATATATATATATATATATATATATATATACGAACGCAACATCTCGGCTCATACCTACGAAATGAGATATTGATTTGCAATCTGATACCGTAATACGCGACGACGCGCTGTCGGCCTGCAGACGACATACTGGCTCGTGGTAGAAGCGTGAAATCGTAACACCTTATGAAATCCACATGATGCAGATATACAATATGGACAATTTCTTTTTTTTATTTAATGACAAATGCATGCGTTAACATCGATTCTTTTTTTCTCAATTATTTTTTACGCAAGTCGCTTTATTCGCAGTGATAAATAAAATTTTAAAACTCAATAAAAAATATAAATTTAATAGCGATGTAAATTAGAAACCTGTGCATATATATTTAACAAGATTTTACAACATTATGCTCTTATGTCATTTTGAAAATTATATGTTTCGTATATCTGTCACACGAGAACATAATTGTATTAACAAGCATTATAAACATAATTTATTTTCTAATATTAAATAAATAAGATTATTTCATCATCAAAATATTATTGCAATGTAAATATGGAATTTAAACGCACTGATAAATTATACGTTTCGCATTGAAAACGCGATATTTTTAATAGATACGTCGTATGTAGTCGCAAGATTAATATTACAGCATTTTTGCTGATACTGCAAAAACATTATCATAAAATTTCTACACTATAAGCGTATTTTATTTCGTTTTCACGAGTGGTTTTAATGCGATTTATGTTTCTCGGATCGACGTATTTACGCATCGCGCGACAAGCAATATTTCTTCGAGCGCTCAATATTTTAGCCGATTTTACAATCCGTCATTCGGCGAGATTACACACGAAAAAATTTTAATTTCTAACAATACCGAGATGTCTGTATATACCGACCAGTACAAACATTTTTTACCGATTTCACGGCCCGTATAATGTGGTTTACACTTTTCGCAGCGATGTTCCCATGCTTTTCCTAGCGAACAATATTTTTCCAGCAGCTCAATGTATTCGCGGATTCCGCCATTCTCTTCTCGTCGCTTCAAACTCAATTTTTTTTTAAACGCTTTAACAGAAGAATAACTTTATCCTCCTTCTCTTTCCGCTTATCAGAAAACATGTAAACCAATTCACGGTATCAACTACAAGTTAGTCGGAGTGTCGAATACTTTATAAAATATTATAAAAATTTCCGTCGACCTCTAATAATGTTATTACAAACTGTGACTCTGTCATGCGAAATGTGCTGAGATAACACGATTTTGTTCTCTTTTGTAAAAAATTAAATACTTGAACTCGCGATGATAATCTACCACGCTTGTCCGGATACGCGCGTCAATCTTGCATCAACTGCACGAGAGTATTTCGAGCTCCGAATTTTTTGCTCCGCTTTTTTGTTTGATCTCATCGATCCACAGCCTGTTTACACGTCTCGAATCATAGGCGCGTTCGTGCATCACGCAACGGGCAATATTTTTTCAAGGGCTCAATATTTTCGTGCGCCGCTTCTCTTTCTCTTTCTACTTCGCTCTTTTTCTTTCTTTTATCGTGTATATGTCAACGCAGTGGCATGCGACCGAGCCAGGCCTCATGTAGTTATGCTTTCCGAAGCGTGTGACATTTCTTGTCACGCCTCGCAAACCCTCCAACGTCGCGCTCCTCGCGCAGCGAAATCTCCCCCTCGCATACATATATCTCTTGGAAATGTCTCGTAATAAAAGCAAAAACCACGTGAAGTGTTTCGTCGCGCCGCGTCAAAACGAGTCGTGGAATGATGTCCCCTTGGTCCTATTTGCGTAACTTTGGCATACCGTCGATTGTTGCCATCTTCTCCCGGTGAGATGTCTATGCACGACAGTTTACTCGTTATGAAAGTTTAAAGAAATGCAAAGTAGCTAACTTTAGTGATATATTAGTGTAGACGTAATAAAAATAAGAATTTTTATACATACTTATTAAATTTATTAGACAAAGATTAATTAATTATCACATCATTATACATTACCGTCATTATACATTTTGATAATAGATACACAATCTTCGGTTGAATTTTGCAAAATTAATCAGAATTCATGCGACATTTAACTGCTAAATTGGATTTCGAGAGAAGACAGGAAATTTATCATACAGAGTCTCGCAGAAGTGATAAGATACAATGGCCAATTGAAGTTATTCAAACTTTAGCGAGAACAGTTAGTCGGATGCCTACAAGCGATTCGCAGGATGTGCGCGCTTCTCGATCGGAACGAGGAAACTTGAGCGATGGAATTCGATACTTGTTGAGTGAGTTTTTGAATGAACATTGACGCGAGTGATTAGGCACGCAAACTTTAAAACTTAAGTCGAGAAATCCGCGGATTTGGACGCAACGCGGATGTAACGAGGTCTCCATCTCCGACCGGATGTTGCCTTTCTGGTCGAGAGCAGTATACACGCGCGCGCGCACGGAAAGTGGATGGAAGGAAATTGTCTCTGCATTAACGGAGGCTCGGAAACTGCTCCCAACATTTAATTAAAGACATTCCCTGAGTAATTCTCTCGGCGGCCTCGTAATTGCATTGCTTTTATCTCCAGTACAACTGTTACTTGTTTGGCGGGTCTTTCGTGTGTATCGGGAGTCAGAATGACTGCGGAGTCCGAATCTTCACAAAGAAAGAGAAAGATAGAGCGAGAGGGGGAGGGAAAGAATGGACGACCGTGGAAAAGAAGCGCGATCGACCATGAGAGCACGAGAACCCATCAGCAAGATCCCGTCCTTACTGCGGGATT